CGGAGGCTCCAAAAGTTATGAACTTTAAGCCTCTGTACAGGCGTTAATTTTCAACCAAACATGATTCTGAAAGCGTCATTGTAATATTAAAGACTTAATTAAGCGACCTATTAAAAAATATCACCGTTTTTTTGACATTAACATTCTCAAATTGTCCATTAAAAAACCGTGCGTTTTTCGCTTATAAACAATTTGATTAACATTGTTGCTATTTATGCTACGAACATAGATGCAATGGATAACTGGCAAAAAATATAGTTTTAAAATAAAAAAAGTACCCTCTACGACCAACAGGAGCCAAGATAAGATTTTTTTTTTAAATCGTAGCGCAGTTGTTTATAAATATTAATACTTGAATTTTTCGCAAAATACAGTTTACGACGTAAACTACGATTTCCCGTGAATTGCATTGAAAAATGTGGAAAATTAACGACTCACGAGCCCTTTAAAGAGAAGGTACTCGCTAAGTAAACTGTCCGGCGGCCGGCGGCGTGGTGGTGGGGGAAGTGCGCGCTGTAAATTTTGCAATATCTCGGCTTCTATTCATCGTAGAAACTTTTTTTTTTTTTAAACTGGGGTAGCTCGACGAAAAAATAACAATGGGCATATTTACGAATTCGTAGAATAGCCCTGAACCCCAGAAAAAATGCATCTTTTATACTTAATTTTATTTAATTTACAAAAATGTCACAAAAATTATTGTTAAACGAAATATTAATTAAAATTTCAATTTCGGAATTATTTTACTATTATTAAATAAATAAATGAAGCTATCGTTCATTTAAAAAGTTATTTTTTTTACATATTAAGGCAAAGTAAACTTGTTTTTTCAATATTTTGTTAGCTATTTAATTACGATTTAAATGTAAAATTAAAGTAAAAATCCATAAATTATTTTCAAATTATTATTTCTCATAAAAATAGAAAAAATTTTAAATTTTAAATTGTTGTATTATATTGCATTATATCTATTATTGAAAATGGTTGTGATTAATATTTTTTTAATTAATTTTGATTATGTTGCAAAAAATTTTTTGTATAAATTAGTAATAAATATAATTAAAAAACTTTATATATTAAAATTTCAAGAAGTTAAAATTGTAATTTTATCGACTGCATTATTTTTATTAATATTTTTTAATTTTGAGAATTTTGCAATAAATTCAAATGCTTTTTATTCTTTTTGAAATCTTTTAACAATAAATAATAATTTGAAAATAATTTGTGAATTTTTACTTTGGTAATTGGTTTTCCCTGCAAAGTGAAAAAACTGTTTTCCTCACTTATTTGTTTAAATAGAAAAGTTAGCTAATACAATTTTTTGACTCACGAGACGAGAGATGTCTTGTATTATGTTCATTTAGACAATTTTACAGTAATAGGAATTTTTTCGAGTAAAAATTTAATTTGCTTGGTCTATTATACAAAGCTGCACCTCTGAGAAGTTATAGGCTTTGAAAGTGGAGTTTCAAATCTCGAAAAAAATTAATATCTCAGTTATACTTGAACTTAGAAAAACCAACACGGTGTAAATGTACCAAGAGCATTAATCAACAGTAAGTAGAGTTGAACTGAAGCATTTTAAAGGGTGGATAAGGGATGATGCACCATTGAAATGTGCCAGAATTTCTTAGCCCGTTGGTGAACTTAAAAAATTATTATATACTTTATTTCATGGGGAATTTAATTCTAAACCTTTTCTTGTTCTTATTAGTTTTCAAAAAGCTTTGTCGGTTTCAACAAAAACATGCATAACTAATAATACATACATACTGTAGCTATTTTATTTAAAATCATCGAAAATTCAAAAGTTGGTTATAAATTTAAACGTCAAACTTGATGATCAGGAAAATAATCAATTAATTTTGACAAAGATCAGACTGGAACATTAGTTTATACATTATGGAGCACCTTCATGATACTGATTTTTTTCGAAATTTGAAACCCTTCTTTCGAGGCCTGTAACTTCTCAGGGGTGTAACTTAGTATAAAGGTAAGTTGCGATAAGTCACCATATTTTGGGTTCCCCTACATGTTCTTGCTCTGTGTCGGTATAGTGAAAACGGACCCTTTTTGTCAATTTCAGTTGGAACTAGGATAGAAAAGGTACGTTTTGATATTAAATCTAATATGTCCAAAGGAACAAAGCAGAAAATCGTATCACCTAGTATAATCCAATAAAGCTGAACATTACACACAAGAAAATTCTCTTTTCTGCAGACGAATAAAATGAGAGACAGCGATAAAAGCTAGCATATGATTTTATGACATTTTCGTCATTTAAGATTTTTTCGCGGGTTTTATCTATTAAGTAATTATTATTCCATTTATCCCAAAAAAGCAAAAAATCATAAAGTTTTATTTTTTTTTTTATTATTTTCATACTACTTAAAAGGTTCATACTACTTAAAATGTTCATACTACTTAAAATGTTCAATTCTTACGGTATTTTTAAATAAAAGAAATATGTAGAATACTGTTTTTACTTATTTCCTTAATATTAAATACATAAGCGTAGTATATGCACCATAGGTATCACAAAGAAATTAAAATTCATGGAAATAGGTGACTCCATCCTTGTCCAAGCACATAAACAGATTTACGGCGGTCTTTTCCGGAGTTTCTTTCTTTACAGCACATTCCCTGACCAATCTCTCTACTTTATCTTTGTCATCAACTGTGAGCGTTATCTTCTGTTTGATGACAGTCAAATCCAGTTCGCCATTTGGTTTCTGAAGACCTACGGCCTTCGATTCGCAAAGCATGTGGGCACCTACTTTAGGGTTGTCAATGTTGTCTGCAAGGTGGTGCAACAGTTCGTGGTCGACATAAGTGGCTGGATCGGCTTGGCACTTGTCGTGGATCTCTTGGAGCTTTTTCTCTTCTTCAGAGAGGCTGGCAGACTACGAGAACAAATAAATAATTTTTAAAAATATGCGCAGGAAACTGTGCTGGTAATGACAGGAAATATAGGTATTAATTAAAAATCTATGTTGAATTTGCCAATAAAGTCATAATTCAAAATTATTCTTATAGAACAAAATTTTTATTTGTTGTAACTTGGATTTTCTACAAATTAGACTGCCAGTCGCCTTTGCAATAACATGATTTTTATAGCAGTCAAATATGGCATATTTTTTAAATGCCCAAATACACCAGTTGATTTTATCCTTGGATACAATAAAAACTATGTAGAAACAGATAAATGGGCAATCCTTTTGCATTATTTAATAAGTACAAGATGTCCACATATCGTTTTTGCTCGGTTAAAAAAAAATCTGTAACGTATCTTTGTTTCTGAAATATTAAACAAGCTTTGTGAGGAATAAAAAATATTTTCTGTGCAGATAAACTGCCTTTTCCGAACAATGTATCAAACAATTCTATTAAGATATCTTGTTCAGAATTAAAATTCATTTGAAATTTGGAAGCAATAGGCCTATTTCGATTTTTCAATTTCTCCATTCTGTATAAGTGAAGGGTCCTTTTTTGAAAGAGATCGAGAAAAAGTGTATAGAAGTTCTTTAGAATTCAAATTTATATTAATGTCCCACATTTGGTTTTAATTTTACACTTTATTTATTTAATAATCGTTTATCTTCAAACTTGTAAGCATGGAAATAAATTTTTATTGTGAATAACTTTTCTCAATATTTTTTATATGAAAAAGCCATTTTACCTACAAGGAGAACATTTTTTGCTTTTAACAAGGTCTACTTAATTTTTCCAAAATAAAAGTATTCAATAAACTACTTTTCGTCGGTTTTCAAAATGTTAGCTTAAAAATATTTTTCTAAAGCAAATGCAATACTTTAATGATCAAAATACGTATAGCAGATTGCAAACTGACCCAACAATAAAAATCCAAAATAAAACTAATAAAATTATTGATAAGCTATATAAAAATAACAAGATTGGTGTTCAATGTTCAAAAAATTTTGTTTTTTTTTCCAAAAATGTATTTTTTACCAAAAATTCACAAAGAAAATGGACCTTTGAGACCTATAGTAAGCTTCAATGGATCTCCAATTTATAATATATCAAAATGGATAGCTCAATTTTTGACCTATGCTTTTGATAAAGATGAAAAATATATACGAAACTCCTTTGAATTCGCGGATTTTATTAGAAATCAAATAATTCCCGATAATTATATACTAATTTCTTTAGATGTTGTGTCCTTATTTACG